AAAAACACCAAAAACTACAAGTGAATAGCGGATGTCCACATTAAGTCACAGAACACACACACACACACACACACACACACACACACACACACACCCACACCCCCCCTACCCCCAGACTTGGAAACAGGTGTTTGAGCCTCAGAGACCACAAGACTCAGATCTCAGCTCTGTAACCAACTGGCTATGTGATTGGGGAAAACTAGCCTGTGACACTGTGCCCTACAAAATATGTTACAAACATTAAGGTCATTGAAAAGATTACCTATGAAAGATGTTGCATGTTACATAAAAATAGCCACCAATCCAAACATGACGTCATGGCTTTGGTTATCATGCCTAGGAGCCGACCACTTGTGGGCATTGAGCTGGGGTCCACAGCTCGGCCCAGGGCCACGCTCCCCAGGCCTTGGCAGGCCTTGCCAAGCCTCCTGACCTACAAACCCAGTGGCCATCCTCGTCCCAAGAAGACAGAATTCTGAGTCCCGATCTCTCGCCTTCAGCCCAGCTCAGGCACAGTGGGGAGTCCTTGACAATTTAAGGGCCAAAGGGAGCACCAGAGGGCGTGTGGGGAAGTCACCTAGGATCTTAAGAGACCACGCCCTGGCCCCACCTGCGTAGACAGTCAACTCTTGTGAACAACCTTCCCCACAGCTTTTGCCTACAACTCACCCTCCCCATCTTCAAGGCTCTGCCACACCCTCTCCGAATCTGTGCCTCACAGCAACAGAGGGTGTGCAGGAAACCGGGGAAGAGAAAGTGAAGCTGCCCAGAGTCACGGATTAGCAAGACTGGCTCTCAAACCCAGATCCCTAACTCCAGGCCAGGGCTGTCTCTCTAACCGTGCTCTTTCAGCAGCACGCACGTCGCTCGTCCAGACGAATTCTATCAGCCAGGATCTCGGTCACCTACAGCAGCGTGAAAATTCCAACATGCTCCTCCGTGGCTGGTCCCGCACCAGGCTAGCCCACCTCTAGGACCCCGCCAGGGCCGTCTGAATTGCACGCCCAGTGCCTTCTCACCATCAGGCACTGTGGAGAGTGATGGCTTCTGAACCTGCTTCCTGTGCTTCCAGGCCCCTTCCAGAACTCCGACAGCCGCGGGGGAGGGAAACTCAAGATGCCAGTAGTTGAGCACCAGCATCAAATCCGAGTTGTGCCCTGGCTGGTGTGGCTCAGTGGGCTGGAGTGTCATCCCATAGACCAAAAAATTGCGGGTTCAATTCCTGGCCAGGGCACATGCCTAGGTTGCGGGTTCAGTCCCCAGTCAGGGTGCCTACAAGAGGCAACTGACTGATAGTTTCTCTTCCCCTCTCTGTCTCCCTCACTTCCCCTCTCTCTAAAACAAGTAAGTGTGTCCTCGGGTGAGGATTAAAAAAAAAAAAATCCGAGTTTTTCCTTTTGCCAGTAAGAGTCTGACGCATGTCATTCCAGGCCCACAGCCGCGGGCAGGCACTGCAGCTCTCCAGCGTGTAGCGTGAGGCTCAAGTCTAAGGACCCCCGGCTTCGCAGGACAACGGGGTGCCCAGCTGCGCTTCTGTCCCCCCACCAGTGAGGCAACCCAGCGCACGGATCCTCCTCCATCAAGAGCCCGCTTCTCTTCCTTTCATGCCCTGGAACACCCAGCAGCCAGTTTTCCTATTTTCTCATTTTCTAAGCCATCTTCAGCTTATAATGAGTTCGCAGTTATTAAGAAGAGATAGTGAATCCCCAGCTGCTGGAGCTAAACGCAAACGCGGAGCTGCTGCGTTTACAGTTAACTGGAGAAAAATGCAGCCTCTCTCCAAAGAGGCGGCAAAGCTGCATTTGAATGCTCTCCCAATACATTAATCATAATGAGTTTTCTTTCCAAAAAGATAAGACTCAGTTTTCAAGGCAAGGAGGAACTTCACGTACCACGGGGCTGCTGCTACGCAGGCACGGGGATCCGCCTCGACTGCAGACCTAAATTTAGCGGCGGGTCCAACACGCCACGGGCTTTTCATTGCTGCCTACCTGTCCCAGGAGCTCCTGCTCACCCTCCATGTGAGACCCGGGGAAGGCGGCCGGCACGGACAGGTCACTCCCAACCAGGACCCCAGCCTCCTGCTTTCCCACCAGCCTTTCCAGAATGGGACTGGCATGCACAAAGGGGCCAGGTGTAGGTCCCTCCCCTTCCCTTGTTTGCTGCGGAATGCAAGGCAAGAGGACAGAGACATGGCCAACGGGTGATGAGCGTCACCCGCATAAATCTGGTTCCCCCACTGGCTGTGAGGGCCCCACGCCCAGGTATTGTGAGTCAATGGATCAGGGTTGCGGTGGGGGACTAGGCATCGGTATGACTTAAATTCTCCTTGGGCGATTCCAAGGTGCAGCCATGATTGTTAACCACTGGCCCCAGTGACCTTCAAAGAGGGTATCAATGTATGAGAAGTCCTTGACATGACCTCATTTTCGTGAGCCAGGTGATGCCAGAATAATCGCAACTGTCTACGGAGGAAGTCAATGGCGCTCAGATACGCTGGCAGCTTCCGGGAAACCTGGAGTAGCAGGGAAGGTTGCGTGAAGGTGCCCAGGTTCTCTGTGACATGCTGGGGAGCCTGGACCAGCCAGTGTTAGAGCCCATGAACCCAGCAAAGATGGCATGAGCCCCACCTTGGAGGAGGCAGGGACGTTGGTCGGCAAGCAGTCTGAAAGAGTCAAAGGACACTTCAGAGCCGCCCCCTTTAGACATGGTGTTCAGTTCGTAAGTGAAGAGAGGGAGGGATGGAAAATATAGCACAGTGTCATTCAATGCCCTCCAGGAGAGTCACCCAGCTGTCTCAGCAGAGGGACCTGAGGAGCTGTGATGAAAGACGTCATCACAGCTTTGTGCCTGAAGGCCAGGGTCTGAGCCAGACCACCGAAGATTGCAGTGGGGCTCCATGGCTTAGCAGCCGTGTGTTCCTGGGCAGGCCGTGTATCTTCCCAGCACCTTGCTTCTTTATAAGGCTACCATGAGGACTGAATGAGTTAGTGAACTTCAAGCTTGGGGTGTCTACTTGGGGAGACCTTCTGCAGCTGAAACAGGGCTTGGGGCCACCAACAGAGAGAGCAATCCCTTGGTAGGGTAGGGTCCTGGCAAGGCACCGGGTAAACTGGGTTGCCGCAATGCGACGGCATCACGTTGTTCAACTGCAAATATCTGAAACGCGGTAGCTCTACTTATGCGTGAGAAAATGCGGGCCCGGATGAAGCAGTGGCTTACCTGAGGGTCTGACGTTAACACCCAGGCTGTCTGACACCCAGGGCTCACTCCCGACCGCTCGTCCCGGGTCCACTTTCCCAGCGGATTCCAGTAACATGGACATTGAGATCCAGACTACTGCTTGCTTGATGTGCTCAGTCACCTGAAATGATGAAAATTAGCTGTAAGGTGAGAGAAAGCCTAAGCTACCAGTAGGAAGTGGCTTGACTTAACGCCGTCTGGTACAGCTCGTGCCGCCCAAGTTAATGGGCATTTTGGCCTTGTGGGTCTGTCCGGGCAGATGCTCCCTAGTTGGGGTAACTATGCCGAGCCTTTCCTCAGAAGCATTTTCAAGGCTTGTGCAAACTATTCCCAACTCCCAGGGCCCACTGAAGGCTCAGGCAAGGAACACAGCCAGCCCTGGGGGAGACACCTGGTCAGACACCAGGGGAATGGGCTCCTGTGTCAGTAAATGTCACCCCAAAAGAGGATGGACCCTCTCCCTTTTGCCAGAGGAATCTGCCACTGTGCCCATAGGAGTGAAGCCCATGACGATGACGATGATAGACTGTAAGGTGACCCAACAGGTGTGTGTGTAGCACTGGTGAGTGTGCGGAGGAAATGTGGAGACGAGGCTGCCCCAGCATGCCACACGTCCAAGACCCGCGGTGAGCTGTGTACGTTCAGCCCGCCGGCTCTGACAGCACAGTATGGAAACAGACGGCAGGCAGCCCCTTCAAATCATTTAAACTAATTAAAAATCATTTGTGACAAAGAATTGTCCTATATAATATCATCTCCTCTATGGAAACTAAGGCTTCCTATTAATACATGGCCACTCTTTCTCCCTGCCTCCCAAAGATTTCTCTCGGGTCAAGGTAAAGAACAGTGTGCATCAACGGAACCCTATGGTCCCTTAGCCACTGAGTTTGCTCTCTTCCCCCAGCCGCTGCCTAGGCTGTTGCTGTGGTTTGGGTCTGGCAGGGGCCTCTCAGGGAGGTAAGTCCAGAAACTGCAGCCTGAGCCTCTGCTTCTCGGCACAGGCTCTGCACTTGGGCGCCAGGGTCCTTCCCTGGGACACTCTTCAGTGCTGGTTTTCCCAAGGGTGTTTGCTACTCATGCCCTCACTGGGATTGGCCACATGTAAGATAGTGAGTCCCACCATGCCTGCTCCACCTATGACACGTGGACACGCTGGCTCTGTTGGCCCACCCACCTGGTTCCAGAGGTTTTACAGACATGCAAATGTGTCAGCCTTTGTATGGTGATGCTGATCAGTTGGGAAACCCCTACCTGAGCAGGCAGCCCTCATGTGCTGGTGCTGACCATCTGGTTGGGGCCTTAAGATCACAACTCATGAATTATCCCTCTAGCCGGGGAAGGAGGCGTGACATTTCTTGGGTCCCTACTACGTGTCTAACAGAACCTCAGCCACAAAACATCACATAATACTCAACCACCTCGGGGGGTAAATAGTATGACCCTCACTTGACATAGGATAGACTCAGGTTCAGAGGGGTGGAGTACTTTGCCCAAAGTCACGTAACCAAGCTAAGACTTGAACCCCAGCCTATCCTTCCTCCATCCCAGGACATCGGCTCCAGCCACAATCCATTCCACACATGCTCTCCCTTTCTCACGCGACCCTGCCCACACCACGTGCAACTGTCCGGGCTGCGGTCTTAGACGCTTTAATTGCATTCTGTTCAGAAAAGGCAGTTAAAAAAATAGGAGGAAGAGCTGACTCCCTCTTAGTGAGTAATAAAGTATGAACAAATGGCGGCTCGGTCATCATCGATGTACATCTTTATTTCCAATTTTCTGGGACCACTGAGAACAATCAACAGGTACACAGGTAGCCTCTGGGAACAGCACTTGGCTCTAAATGCTCCTGTCCACCAGGGCATGGGAAACCGGAGACCGTGCCTGCGCCTGGGCCTGGACCTGGGCCTGGGCCTGGGCTGGCGTTCACACCCAGTGCTGGCTTGCGCTGAGGGCCGCGCTGAACGTCCTCAAGGCCCGGTGAGTCCCCCTCGCTGCCAGAAGGAGTGACCCAGCTTCGGCTCCATGGCCGGCCTCCCGCAGGTGTCGAGCCAGCTCCTCTGCATCCCAGCGCCCTTGCTGAGGGCTGGCCAACAGGTGCTCAATGATGTGCGGGTAGAAGGGAGTGGAGACACACTTCACCAACAGCTTGGCGTCCAGGAGCAGGGAGAGAAGTTCCTGGTCACAGTTTGAGTTATTCACCTTCAAGAAATAAGAGAGGTAAGACATGAGCTGGAGCTGCTTACTTCTCACCGGGAGACACATCAAACTCTGCGCTGGTCACTAAGCACTGCCCGTTTGCGTTGTCATCATAAATGTTTCTCCCCGGGTTACCAGCGCCTGCTCCAAAAAGCGCATATAGGTGTCCTTTGGGCAGGAGACACAAGCGCCTCCCAAGAGGCCCCCTGAATGGCTGCAACTCTCATAAACCGGGTGCCAGGGGCAATGCTAAAAACTGCGCACGTGTTTCTGTGCTGAGTTCTCCCAGCTCAACTCTTGGCAGCACTGCCACGGCCAGTTTAACAGACAGGGAAACAGACATGCAAGCACTTTGCTTAACGCTGTGGTCGGTACGTCACAGAGCCAGAATCGGAGCTCAGGCCAGTTTTGACTCCTGAGCCCAGGTTTTTCACAGCCACACTGCACACCGATGTTTCATTCAGGCATTTACCCCAACACTCCCCTGTATGTAGATGCACAAGGAAAAAAAAAATGTTTCAGAACAAGACCTTTCTTCTCCTCCAGGGAGAAATACATCCGTCAACCTCCTGACATAAATAGGATGACCTCAGGAGGTGTTTAAAACTTGTTCTCACTGAAGGCTCTAAAAAGCTCGGTACCAAACTTACCTTTTTAAAACGTTTCACAGGCTCTTTCGGCTTGCGTGTTCTCTGTACTGTCCCCCTCAGTCCTATCTTCTTATTCTATGAATGGCTTTCCATGGCTTTGACACTTAGCTTCTGCTTTTCTGTTTTCTAGTATTGTCCACATTGTTGTAAGGAATCAAGTCAACACTAATTGCATATCAAAATTCACAAGTACATCGTGGTGTCATAAAACAGCCCCACGACAGGTTCTTCTTAATGTCACTAGGCACATTTAATAGTTTTGGTTGTAGAACCTCAGAAATAATGTGGCATTTGGAAGCCAATTCATGAATGTTTAGACTAGCTGTGTTAGGCTGCACACAGCGAGCTCTCCTCCTGCTTGTTCTGGGACACGGAGGGATGCCTACTGACACGAGGAGGTCAACTGTGCCTGCGGGATGCAAGAATTAAACAAAGGGAGTTCTGAGAATGAGAGTTACTACCCACTGAGACAGCTTCTGCCTTTCCTATAACCTAGTGATCCTTCAAAACCCAACATATATGTCACCTCCAACGACATCTTCTTGGTGACATTTTCTCTAAATCTCTTGGCCAAGCGGGTTCGTCCTTCCTCCATACTCCAAGACACGGTATATATGCCTCTTCATGCTGTACTCTAGACCTCCGTGTGCCTGCCTCCCCACCGGCCTGAGAGCTTTCCTGGGCACAGGGCTTCTCTCATCCTTCAATCCCAGCGTCCAGTTCGCTCCACATTTGCTACAAGGCCAAATGAACAACACGACTGAACTCCATCACTTTCCTGGAAACTGCACAGTCCTTGAGAAGGACCCAGTCTCTGCAGAGACTCTGAATAGTGGACTTGGAACAGAACCATCTCTGCCAACCCTAGGTGTCTTCTTTTTGCCTGTCATTTCATCAGCACTTGTGCATACTGTGCACCCACTGCTGACTCTGGAAGACACGCAAGTGGACCCAATTGAGCATTTTGCTTGTTTTTGTTTTCGGAGGCTAGAAGGTTAGGAAAAGCAATTGGTACAAAAGACTAGCTTTTCTGCTGAAAGGGACATGGCTTTCAATCCTCCACACTGGGGGGTGGCGGATGAGTTCTGCGTGTCTTCTTTCCTTCCAGCTTCCTTCCTCTCTCTTTTGCTCCACAGGTAAGAAACAAGTCATAACACCCCGTGGCTCTGCCCTCACCATTACTGTGTCCACACCCGGGGCTGGCAAGCGCTTCCTCTCTGAGCCTAAAATAAGCCCTGAGAAAGCTATAGTTTCGCTCAACAGATGAAGGAACAGGTCCAGTGGGGTCAAAGTCACATGTGCTGCTTTGGTGAGCTGGGATAAGCGCCCTCATCTCTGACTAGTCTGCTTGCTTACTGTTCATCCCCCTCCAACACAGGAGCTCCTCCAGAGCAGGGGCCTCATCTCCATTGTTCGCACCTGCAGCCCTCATGCCCAGGGTCATGTGGGTCGTGTGCCAGGGGCTCAGCCAGGTTTGTGGAGCAAACCCGTGAATGCGTGAGAAACGCCAAAGTTCACATCCCTTCACTGCACACTGCTGCCTCCAAGTGCGCACAGCTTCTGAATTCCTGTGCTATGGTTATTTTGGTTCACCCTTAAAAATCAAGAATCCCTCCCCCTACCCCTCCAGGAGAGAACAGTGTGTGCCAGGGTGCTGCGGGCACTGTTTGATACAACACACGGATAAAAACCTCAGGATCCGAACACTGCTGGGTAATACTTTCTTTGTTGTCCCAAGTCAGTCTTCAAGGCTGGGCCCCCACTGTGATTCTGTTTACGCCCTGGCCCTCCTTTTGGGGGCCTGAAGGATGCCAGGAAAGGGAGGCGGGGGTGTTTCCAGCTCAAGGCAGAGACGGGTTCTGCACCACCAGCAGCGGCTGCCCCTCTCACCCCGCCTCTCTTCGTTCCTCTCCAGTGCCACGCACCCTGAGAATCCGCTTCCCACCGCATGTCCCAGCCTTTCATATAGCTGTCCCTGCTCCTGCAGGCTGGCAGCGAGGAAGGGACAGGGCAGGCATCTACCCTCCAAGAGCTCCCTATCTACTGTCCTGGCTGCGAAGCCGACGGCTGCAGTCCTGGGAGGGAAATACCGTGTCTCCCCTCAGCCCTGGTGCACTCGCAGGTCCCCTACGCTCCGGCAGAGTCCGACACCGCTGGCCCCCACAGAGCTCAGGCAGTGGCCTGGGAAAGGTTGGGGGGAAATTCCAGGTTAGCTCCTCATAATCAAGTGCTGAGAAAATGGAAGTGGCAACTTTATAATTGCCATGTGCAAAGGCAATACTACATGGACAATAATTCTGTGCATATTTGGGTCAAAAGAGAATGAAAGGACATAGAATAGGACCTTGGGAAGGACCTATGCCAACACGTACACTTAAAGAGGAGGCGCTTGGAAGTAAGAAGACGTAGTGCCCAAGGTCACAGGGAGGCGAGACTGCTCCCCCCACACCCTGGTGGCAGTCTCTTTGTACACTTAAATATTAACCTTGATTGAAGTTACAGTGAATGCTTTAACTTGTTTACAATTCTGTTTTGGTTAGTTGTTCTTGTATACAAGCTTTTTATTTTTATATCGTAAGGAAAGATTCTGTTTTTTATGATTTAAAATTTTTTTTTTATAGATTTTATTTATTTTCACAGATAGGGGAAGGGGAGAAAAAGATAGGAGAGGAACATCAATGTGTGGTTGCCTCTCACATGCCCCCTACAGGGGACCTGGCCTGCAACCCAGGCATGTGCCCTGACTGGGAATCGAACCCTGCAACCCTTTTGTTCACAGGCTGGTGCTCAATCCACTGAGCCACACCAGTCAGGGCTCATTTTTTTTATTGCTTCAAGTTTAGAGGTTGTAATTCCTCGGAGGATCTGATATAGATGTGCTATTTTCTGACATTGAAAAATATCTGACTTTTTAATCGATCAGGAATTACTTGGTTACAGAGTCAGTGAAAAATCACACATCCCTGACATGGGCTGGATCGGTGCTTTAAGAGCTTGAAGAAGAAAATGTATTCTGTCATTTTGGACTCAGTTGGATGCTTGACATAACTATGAGACAAGTCCAGGAGGATTCGCTAATTTAATTCCTCTGATCAAATAACTCTTGAATTAGAGGGAGAGGCAATGTGGTCTTGTGAAAAGAAGACAGGCTTTTGGGTTGGAGACCAATTTCCAATTCTGGTTGCTTCACTAAATTGCAGTGTGACCTTGTTAAGGATGCTCTCTCTGGCCTTCCGTTTCCACACCTGAAATACAGACTACCCGCAGGGGTTGAGATAACCTGTGCTTTTTAAATAAGTGCCTAGCACAATGCCTGTTACAGAGTTCAAGTTCAATAAATGGCTGAAGTTAGCACAGTCAAACAAATCAGGAATAAGGCATTTCAAGAAGAGAAAGAGGCGTACATATATCATAAAGCTTGCCACCTCCATCAGTGATTTTTCTGTGAGTCAGTGATTAATTTTTGAGAGTAAGTGAAACTCCACTGATCTTAGGAAAGAAATCTATTAAAGCACAAAACTCTACTGTCTTCCAAGCCATTAAAATGTTATCTGCTTAATTCCTGTTTTAACAATAGGTAATGAACCTTCTCGGAATTAAAATCTGTGATTTTATGGATCTATGCAAAGCTAAGAGTAATTACAATAATGAGGTAAGCTGAAATTCCAGTAACATAATGTATGCAGGGCCTGATTTCAATTACTTCAAGGAAGATTATTTAAAACTGCTGCACTGTTTACTTTAGGGAAGGATATTTGTCTCATTGTTATATATACTATTACTAATAAGAGTTTTTAAATAGATCAACAATAAGGGTAGAAAAATAAAAGGACAACACAAGTGTATCCTTGGAAGGATAAAAAAATGCCCGTAGATAATTGTCTGTATTCTGTATTTATTTGAATGCTGTTCAGACTCCATGTCTCAGCATAACATCAGTCCCGCTCCTGGCATGGGATTTAATAGTGTACCTTATCTGGAACCAAAATTAGGACAAATCATCTGACTTAGGACAAATCTCTGACTTACAGGGAGAGAATCTTTGAAAATCCAAGCCTGATAACCAATGTGACCATATCCGAATCTTCCATTTCAGGGCCCTGCGTTTGGCTAGTTCCACACTTTGTTTTTACTTGCTTCCCCCTCTGCTTAATTCCTCGATGTCTTCTGTCAATGCCCCAGGAGATAAGTCCGTGGAACCCAGGGGTGCTCGTTTCTTCCCTCTTCACAAACATCCTATCCACTCCTCACTCCTGCACAGAGCACCCGGCTGTGCACAATGGGTGCTCATGTGTCGGTTCACACTGAGTAACTCAGGCAAACACCAGTGCTGCCTGGAGGAACACCAGGGTA